AGTTGGTTAGAGAATGGTGTTGATAATGCCAAGGTTGTGGGTTCAATCCCCATATGAGGATGCATATTCCTGCATTGCAAGGGGCTGCACTAGATGATCCTCAGGGTCCCTTCCAACTCTACAATTCTATGATTCTGTGAATTACATGCACTTAATCACAAATATGAGAGACAGCTCTTACCATATAGTACCGACTATCGATGTCAAAGGCTACCCAAGCAAACCTTGAATAAAATGCTTATAGGTGTGTGATCTAAAGTAACCCTAACAGGTGAGTAAAGGGAACTCAAAAAATAACTGGAGAGATAACTCATACATTTCAGGAATGAGCCATCACCAGGTATCTTGAACAGTGTACTCAAAAGATGCACAGTTCAGGACATCCCAGGAGGCAGTCAAGAGGTCATCCCTCACTTCTAGCTGCTAGGGAAGTTGATCAACTTTGTTTAGAAGTTACAGAATGCATGGCCAACTATTTCAGGTCCCGTTATAGTACATTCATAAATGTGCTATGAAAGCTTGACAATTAAAAATTAACCTGCCAGAAAGATGAGTGTATATTGAGGGACGGTGTAATGCAGGGTTCCCCTCCAGATGTTGCTGGAGTCCATCTCCCATCAGCTTCAGCCAGCATGGCCACAGATCAGGGATGATGGACATTGCAGCCCACATCTGGAGGGTTGCAGATTCCCTATCCTTGGGCTAGGACCAAACAGGTTGAAATCTCCACTCAACCAGGGTGACTCTAAGATAGGTTACAGATTCAATGTTTATCTCAAAGGCTCCTTGGAAAAAATAATCATGAATACCCCATGGAGCAGCTTGAAAAAACCATACATAATAAATGCCACAAATAAATATATATATATATTAGTAATGTAATAACTGGTGTAGTGCAATGAACAAAGTGTCCGACTTGGACCATGGAGATGTAGGTACAAATTCTCATACCAGATTTAAGTCAAGCAAGAATGAGAAAGAGGGTTATTGTGAACACTTCCCATGAACACTACTGTTCCTTCACAATTAAAAGGTACCTTTGTTTGTCCCAGACTTGAGAAAGAAACCAAACAAGGACAACTATGCTTTTCTAAAGAAACATATTGAATGCTGAATGTTTAAATCTTCTATGCGTACATCTGAAAGCACAGTGAAAACATTGCAATGGAATGTGAAGTTCAGGTCTAAGAGAGATTGCCAAAGTTGGATGATAAAACCTTTATTGTGGTACAAAATATACCAGCTGCCACAGCTGGCAAATTTAGCAACTGGGAAAATGAAAAAAACTGTCTGTATTCAAGCTAATTCTGTCTACTGTTAGAACACATTCAGTGATGGAGGAATTACTGTGAACAAGCTATGCATTTCCTTGGAATCTGACAGCTGGATACTGGAACAGAACCAGTGTGCTATGATTGTCTGTTTCTCCACTTGCTCTAGTTGCCTATTCCTCTTACTATGTTAAACAATTTGTTCACACACACCCCTTTGGATCCATGACTTTATTAACTTACAAATTGAATTACAGTAGTCATCTGATTTTAGTCAATTGATGCTTTGGCTAAAAGCTGATAAGAATCCTACAACCCCAGAGGCATAAGCAGCAGCATCCAGACAATTCAAGCAAGGTCCAAAAGTAGATCACAGTACACCTGCATGGGGAACCTGCTTTCATACATGGATGAAACTCTCACCAAATAAATCCGAAAGTTTCATTTCTTTTCTAAAATTTAGACCACACACAAAATGCATAGGCCTTCCTCCCCCCGCTCCCCTTTGGCTTGTTTCTTTCAAAATAAAAGGGGGAAAATATAATAGGTGGCATTCAACTAAGTTTTAATGTTAATGATTCACATTAGTGTCAATGAGTCTTCTATGAGTAAAACCCAGTGCAAGCAACTCCCCAAATATCTAATGTCTTATGCTAAAATTAATTAATTTATGTGATTGAGGAGTGGATTTGGAGAATGGAGCAAACTGGCAGCGACGCACAAACTCAAAGTCAGGGACTCATTTTCCCCTTCTCATCCCCTGTGTGGGATTACCAATACAATATTATGGCCAGAGCATCAGGGAGGCAGTATGGAATACACGTCACAATCCACAGCAAGCACCTTTTACGGCAGGAGAAAAGGACGTGTTCGCATCACAGCACAGTGAAGTTGTTTCCCCCACCTGAATTTCATATCTCTTCCTCCCCAGCTGTACGCATCAGCCTGCTTTCTGCTTCTGTACACACCAGGGGGCATTGATGGGAAGGAGATAGCTTCACACTCTTGCAAAGGTGTTCATGTCTTTACAAGAGACATACTGTACAGAAAAGGAGATGATGTTGGCATCCATCTGTATTAGGCCTGGAACCTGCCAGAAAGTAACTTCCCCTGCCAATCAACTGCCTTCTTTCCAATCCATAGCCAGGCCAGGGAGGTACTTTCTAAGGCACCTGGCTAGGTTGGTCTACTCTAGACCAAGGCTAACGAGAAGAGTCCTCTTGCGCTCACAGAGCTACAATTTCCATAGTTCCCTGGGAGAGGAGTTGACTATTAAACCACTCTGGTATTGTAGCTCTGTGAGGGGAATGGGGTCTCCAAACAACTCTCAGCATCCTTAACAAACAAGAGTCCACAGGATTATCCGGGGGGAAACCCCAAAGTATGATACTGCTTTAAATGTATAGTGCAAACAGGATTTAAAAGAAAGAGAAAGGAGTGAGAATCAGCAGGGGCAAGTTGTGGATGTTGTTCAAAACACAGCGTTTGTTTTCAGCACTGCTTGGCTAAAATGCTTCACTCCAACATTATGTGCCTGTGGCAGATAGTGGCAATGACAGCACTAGCCTAACCAATGCACTGCAGGTGTGCAGGATGGGAAACCCATGACAAAGGATGCTGGGATCCGTAGTCCAGCAACATCTGGATGGCCACAGGTTCCCCATCCCAGACATATGGAATCGGAAGCCAACTCCTCAGGAAGCTCCCCCCCCCCCATCAGCACTATAGATAAAAGTCAAGAATGGCAGCTATACTGTGGTGTTCTAGATTGGATGGGCAGAAGGTCTCTGGATGATCTGAAGAAGGGTTTGGCTCCCACTTGTTTATCAACGACAGCAACAAAATTTTGTGTGGAAGGCCAGTGAGTTCAAATCAAGTTCTAGTGCTCAGAGCAAATCCCTGGGCTCAGGATCCTTAAATTCAGAACAGAAACCTGCCTTATGGATCTCACGAATCTAGTAACATAAAATAAAATTGCACAACTTTGATCATCCCTGTTCTAGAATCTCAAAAGGCAAATTGGGAAAAGGACACCAGGATCGCCCATTGTTCCACAACTCCACTGAACATACATGGCAGTACTCCTTGACTTCATTTATCTATATAATTCACACTGCGGATCTAACATTTCTCCTTGTACTGCAGTTTGTCACTTACACTGTTAGGAATCCCTTTGCAGAGATTTCTTCCAGATGCCCAGGGATGAAAAGGCAACACCCTAGAATGTCTGTATTTTAGAACAAGTTTTAGATAGGTCTAGCTTCCTATCTTTTCCCAGTAGTAATGTATGGAAGTGAGAGCTGGACCATAAAGAAGGCTGATCGCCGAAGAATTGATGCTTTTGAATTCTGGTGCTGGAGGAGACTCTTGAGAGTCCCATGGACTACAAGAAGATCTAACCTCTCCATTCTGAAGGAAATCAGCCCTGAGTGCTCACTGGAAGGACAGATCCTGAAGTTAAGGCTCCAATACCTTGGCCACCTCATGAGAAGAGAAGACTCCCTGGAAAAGACCCTGATGTTGGGAAAGATGGAGGACACAAGGAGAAGGGGACGACAGAGGACGAGATGGTTGGACAGTGTTCTTGAAGCCACAAACATGAGTCTGACCAAACTGCGGGAGGCAGTGGAAGACAGGAGAGCCTGGCGTGCTCTGGTCCATGGGGTCGGACACGACTAAACAACAACAACAGCTTCCTATCTAGAGAATATTTGGAGCTATCCCACAATTCGGACACAGCTCTGTTTTGTTGTGTGAATGTGATTATCAAAAGTTCCTTTTGTATAGGAAACAGTGTTTGAAATAGCTCCAAAGGCCCCAAACTTCCACAGATACAAACAAGATCCTCTCAGGAGCTTTTCTGTATTTCCTTTAACTCAACACAATTGGACTCATTAAAAATTCGATTTCTTCACAACAGGAAACAAGGGCCAAGGATTTTACTACATTACATTGTGTTGTGCATCAAAGAGACACCCCAAATCAACCAAGGATATCTGATGAGTTTTGCGATTAAAAGCACCACATAACTCAGAAGCTTCCTCTTTGTATGAAAGTTTGCGTAACAAATATTGCTTTGCTTACTTTTTATCTCTTCAGCTGCTTCACCCATAACAATTTTTCCTAAACAGAGTTAAGAAAGGCTATACAACTTTCCCATGACAATGTCAACATCTGTTTGGGGTTTGCTTACATAGATTTGAAAACCATACAGATCTATGAAATGCTAATGAACCATTTGCAGCTTCATGTGCAGTTTACACAAGATATAACTTAACCAAATGCCAAAATTGCTCATTCCCATTTCTGCAAATATTGTTAAGGGGATATATTTTAAGAAGTAGGTGAGGGCAAGGCTCTGGAACAGCCATTTCTGGCTCAGGAAGAGCGTACAATGTTAGTCAGGTCTTGTCCCAAGCGGACAGAGGCTTTGTACACATGACATGAGTTAAGGACATTAATCCCTCTTCTTCTGAGCCAGTGTGGTGTAGTGGTTAAGAGCTGTGGACTCGTAATCTGGTGAACCGTGTTCACTTCCCCGCTCCTCCACATGCAGCTGCTGGGTGACCTTGGGCTAGTCCCACTTCTTTGAAGTCTCTCAGCCCCACTCATCTCGCAGAGTGTTTGTTGTGGGGGAGGAAGGGGAAGGAGAATGTTAGCTGCTTTGAGACTCCTTCGGGTAGTGATAAAGCGGGATATCAAATCCAAACTCCTCTTCTTCTTCTTCTAGGATAGCTCAATTGGTAGAGCATGACATTCTTAATCTCAAGCTTGTGGGTTCAAGGCCTCCATTGGGCAAAAAGATTCCTGCATTGCAGGGGTGATGGACTAGATGACTCCCCCATGGTCCCTTCCAACTCTACGGTTCTATTCCCCCCCCATTATATTTATTGAATTTTTCATTATCTATTACTACAGTACTTTTATATTTTGCACCTTGTTATTTGCTCAAAACAGCTATCGACTTCCCTCCCTCCCACCTCATGGTTACCTTAATTATTTCTATTTCACAGCATTTCTATTTTTTCCTGTTTACATTATATCCATCTCAATTATCAAATTTTAAATAAATATGTCAAAAAGTACATAACCTCAACATTACAAGTTTCTTAAGTCAGTCCTGCTAGTGTTGTTAAATGTTTACAATTATCCTTCAAATGTCATATAAATTTACTCCAGTCTTTTTGGAACATTTGAACCCGCTGATTTTGGATTTTCCCAGTCAACTTTGCCAGCTCTGCATATTCAATCTTCTTCATTTGCCACTCTTGAATCGCTGGTAACTCCTGTTGCTTCCATTTTTGAGCTAGTAAAGTCCTTGCTGCCGTTGTTGCATACCTGAACAGCCTTTGGTCTTTCTTCAGGATTTCCTCACCTATTATCCCCAATAAAAATGCTTCTGGTTTTTTAACAAATGTACTTTTGTATATTATCTTTAACGCATTACAGTGGTACCTCGGGTTAAGTACTTAATTCGTTCCGGAGGTCCGTTCTTAACCTGAAACTGTTCTTAACCTGGAGCACCACTTTAGCTAATGGGGCCTCCTGCTGCCGCCGCGCCGCCGGAGCACAATTTCTATTCTCATCCTAAAGCAAAGTTCTTAACCCGAGGTACTATTTCTGGGTTAGCGGAGTCTGTAACCTGAAGTGTATGTAACCCGAGGTACCATTGTATATATCATGTCCCAGTAAGCTTTTACCTTACTGCACTTCCACCACATACGATAAAAGTTCCCTTCCTTTTCTTTACATTTCCAACATTCCTTACCAACTCTACGATTCTATGACCAACAGCACTGCATATTACATCAGAGGTGTGGATGGTTTGCCTCACTCACCTCTCGGCACTACACCTTCAACTTGCTGGCGCAGCATAGGCTATTTGTAGGCTAACAGGCAGTTTGTCAAAGATGTGAGACATGGGGCAGTTATGGAAGGGTGTCCTTTTAGTCACACACATTTGTAGGCTGAATTGGGGTGGCGAGGAGATGAATGGAACTTGAACAAAGCTTATTGTGAGGGCTACTTTAGGGAAGAAAATGAGCAATAGCAACTAAAATAAATGGAGAGAAAGTATTTTGGGGTTTGTTTGTTTGTTTGTTTGTTTTTGGCTTTCTTTATTTTCTCAAGTTACCTGAATATTCATTGGGGGGGGCAGGGCTTTTTTTCAGCCAGAACTCACCTGAACTCACTTCCGGCACCTCTCAGGTGGGAGTCATTGCCCTTATAAGAGAACAAGGAAGGTGTTCATTGTGAGTACCAGCACCTCCTTTTCTAGAAAAACAGCGCTGCTTTGGGGTATATTCTCCCAAGTGCTTACAGGGCTGTTGATTACCTTTCTTAAAACTACCCCAGGCTGGTGGGATAGCAAGATATTACTGTCCAGAAATGTTGCTGAACCCAAGTGATGGTTGCTAAAGCATAACACCATAGTTTGTATGATACACCCATTTGAAAAGGGGAGAGATTAAGCACAGCAGCCAGGCTAAAGTCCAGAAGATTCGCTTCTTGCTTATTGCGGAGTTATCTCATGCGTCATTTCCAGAACATATTTTATGCTAGCTGTTTTAGAAAAGGATTTGCCCCGATCCCTTTGTAATTGTCCAACACAGGACCAGAGGGGTGTAGCCTTTATTTACAGAAGCAAAATAAGAAAGGAGATAATATATTTCACCGAGAGTTGACGTGAGGTTATGAGCATGCACACACATGCAGAAAGGCTTCTACAATGTCAGAATGAATGCAATTCACAGACAAGAAGGAAATAAAACTGATAGCACCACTCGAATTCCCATGAGAAAGATTGCATCTATAAACCCGTGTGTGTGTGTGTGATATTGCTGCTACAGAACTATGTGTGGATGATAAACCTTTACTGCAATATACATCTGAATGAATGCATATTTATTAGAATATGCATCTGAATGAATGTATATTCAGAGTTAGACCTTCTGCTTCTGCTGTATGCTTCTGCTCAAACATAGAATTTTGTTGTTGTGTTTAACACAACAAGCTAATGGTTGTGGTCACATCACACAAACTGCAACAATGTGCAAGTTCCAGTGTCACCACTGGATCCCATTTTTTTTAAAAAAAAATTGATGTTAGCTTGCCCAAATCCCTATGCCCAGGCAAAGACAATCATCGCTCTGCCAGAAGTTTTATCTCCCTCCTGATGAAACACACAGAGAGGATTCTACAATTTCCTTAACGCTGATTTCCATTGCTCAAGTATTTGTGTAGGAACATGAGCCTCATTCATTTTCACTATAAGGTTGCAGTTGAAATACAAGAAATGATGTTCCAATCCCCCCCAAAATTAGTACAGTGATGGAAAGGAAACTATCATGCTGGAACTGCCTAAAAGATTACACCGACAACACAGACCCTTTTATTTTTTACATTTCTACACCACCTTTCCTTCAAGGTAGTCTACACACTTCCCAAATGAATGCATTCCTGCAGAGGCTGAAATCTCAGACATGTGAGCTTTGAGAGTTGGATGAGCTGTCTGCCATACAAAGAAAACCATGCACTAATCTATCTATCTTGAATGATTTGGATATTCTTCCTTGTATCTAACCTCCTATGACCTTCCTGCCAGTCACCTCTACTGACTTCACCACCACCACTGAAAACATAAATGCTCTGTCTTGGGAGACGACAAATGTAAAAAAATCTGAGAGGATGGAAATGCATTCACGCCATTGCAAGAGACTAAAACATGTTTATGCATATCTAACGGACATTTGGCGCTGCCTTGGGAGCAAATGGCTCCTATAAGATCATTCAAATCAAGTTTCACTAATGTGCTCCCAGAAGCAAGAACAGGCGCAAGTGATGGTGAAAGGAAGGGAAGCAATGCAAAAGAGACATTCGATCCAAGATCCTTGTCAAGCTAAGAAATGTGGTTTAAGGCATTCTTGCCATAAATAAGATTCATGGGCGACAAGATTGCACCAGTTCCCACAAGAGCTCTATAAAAAGGCTGCGGTGGTGAGGCAGTGTGTAGCATCCCAGTACAAGCGCAGGGGTCGGCAAACCTCACCATGGAGCTAGTAGTGCTGTCAGCGAACAAGATAAACTGCCTCTGCCTCTTGGGCAGGTGAGTCACTGAAACATAGAGGAAGGCTGAGGAGGGAATTCTAGCTTTGCACACCCTGGCTAGAGGGTGCATGAAATATGTCCTAGTGGGAAGAAACTCCTGAGATCAGAGAGGCACCCAGGAAGGAAGAAAAAGAAGGAGCATATTGGCTACCCTAATGAAAACAAAAGCTGATTATATAGAAGACAGAAGCCTAAAGCAAACCATTAGAGCCCATTTACACAGATGAAGGACTCAGTATTAAGTTACAGAGCAAGGTTAACAGCACCTGTGTCCCCAGGGACAAAATAAGGAGGCACAGGAGACTGGGGGGGAAAACCCATGTTGGGAAAGGAGGCACAACCAAAATTTGTGTTGGGGAAACAAACAGACAAAGCATTGCATGTGTGCATCTACGGAAGAACTGCAAGGCTTTGTGATCAAGCCACTGGGCTCGCTCGCCTGCATAACAGGACATGACCGTTCCAACAACTCCAACACATGCATGCTTTTCATTAGATCTTATTTTTGAAAAGTAAGGAAGAAGGAAAGAAGGAAATATTATGCAAGGTTCTTCACACCCCCCCCCAAAAAAAATATTAGATGAACACTTTTGAATTATGTGCACGGATAAGCCACAAACATTGCACAGGGCTTTCCCCAAAGACAGGTGCGTTTCATCCTCACACCCACCGCCAGGCACATAATGCACTTCCTCTCCCCAGATGCCATTTCCTACATGACTCGCTCGCCTCGCCGCTTTTTCTCGACACCCCCAAGCAAAACACCCCAGAATAGCACCAGTCAGGGCGCCGCGCGCAAGGCTCGTCTGTATCCATTCGCGGCTCCATCTCACCGGATTGCGGGCTGCCTGGAGCTTCCCTGCGGTGGGTAGGCGCTGTTCCCTCGCTAATACAAGCCTTCAAGTAACGGGCCCTGAATGCAAAGTGATAATAAAGCGAAACTTCCTGGAACGCGATATGGAGAGAAAGGCGAATGATTTTTACGCTCACCCTCATCACAGTGCTGGGGATTCGCCCGCTTATTATTCCTTAAGAGCATCACGTACATCCATACACATTGGTGGTTCGTGTAAAACAATCACTGGCAGAACTGTTTAAAAACCAGTAACAACAGAAAGCGCTCCATCATCCACGTTGGAGCCGAGATGCCAAGACGAAGAGCACCAGCTGCCCCTCATCCTCACGCCCCCGCTTCCCAGAGAATCCAAAGCAATCGAGGGCAAGCAGGAAACTTACCTGGAGGGCATCCCCCATGTGGAGAGAGGCTGCTGCGAAAAGCGCAGCAAGAATTATATTCCAAATATGAATGCGGGGACGGAGAGGACACCAAGCCGATCAGCTCCAAAGCGCACCGGATTTTGCGTCAGGCAAAGGTGTCCAAGCCTAACCGGGGTGCGCAAAAACCATCGTTGCGAGGCAGAGGTACCACAATAATCCAGGCCCGAGGGAGACCAAGGGGCCAGACTCTCCCCAGGTGTTCTTGCTAGCATCTTCCCTCCTCTCCAGCAGATGCCCTCTTCTCGGAAGGGCGATGCTTGAACATCCTAGAGGCATAAATCCAACGCAGCGGGGTCCTTCCTTGTCCAACGGGGAAGATGAGTCCAGGTCGTGGGGGCCATAATAACCCGCACGCCACCCTTTGCAGACACTCCGCCGACCTGCAGCAGCCAGCCGAGAAATGCGCACGATCCCCCGCATTTGTGCCCGGCGAGGCGCGCGATCTCTGTCTCTCTCCGGGCTAGCCCCAAAAGAGCGAGAGCAGCTCCCAGCGCATCCAGGCACCCGGGAGAGAAAGAGGCTGGAAGAAGCAGCCAGCTCGCGGGATCCCGGAGCGGCTCGCCTCGCATCGAGGAGGCGCCGAGAGGTCCCTCCACCAACCGCGCCTTAGCCAAGCCCCTCCTGCCGGACCCCGCCGGCCGAGCGCCGCCCAAGCAGCAGCTCCGAAGGAGACGCACTCTCGCCGCGCACCAGGAAAACGCGCGCCCTGCCCACCTCCCTCACACTGCCCGGGCTCGAGCCATGCCTGCTTTTATATACTCCGCAGCCGCAGGCTCGCTCGACTGCGGCAAGCCGAGGCAGAGAGCATCACGGGAGTCGTAGTTTTTCCTCTCCCTCCGTCCCTCCCTCTCTCGCCACATTCCAGTTAATGTTTATATATCTCGTTATTTAAACGTGATAGATAGATAGATAGATAGATAGATAGATAGATAGATAGATAGATAGATAGATAGATAGATAGATAGATAGATAGATAGATGCAATTACTTGTGAGTAAGCATGCACCTGGGCTGTGCGGCTAAGCGAATTCATGCACCAAGCTTAGACATGCATCCGGGCACACGAAAAAAAGCTACTGCAATTCTGACGTTACGCTATGTCCTTGACGCAGCAGCACTAGCGCCGTTTTTGTACCCCATTCATGTGCGGGGCACAGCAAAGTCATTTAGAGCGAGGACTGCTGGTCCCATTTCCTGTTGGTCTTATTCCTATAATAGGAATCGGGTGAATTTCTTTAATCTTTTGGGGACTACACGAATCTAAAATAGTGCAGAAGGCAAGGAGTACTTTATTTATTTGTACAAGTTAGAAACTGGCTTTAAAAAAAAAAGTACATTAAATAAATATGTTGAATTACAGATTCTGATTTATTCAATGTTTTCTGTGTTCACAGTAAACCTATTGAAATTAATGGACATGACTAACTTAGGTCAATTGATTTCAATGGATCGACTGAATAGAACTTTAAGGCAATCCCCATATACTATTTTTTAAAAAAAATAAAATAAAATTATTGGTTTTGTGTGGTGCTGTCTGCTGTGATCCACCCTGAATAATTTCACGTTAAAGGGCAGGGTTTTGGAGATAAGAGAAAATAAATAAAACAAAAATAAACAAAATATTTTAGCCTCTCTCTTATTTTAACTTCTTGACCATTATATTTAAGAATCCCACCCCCAATTCATGTTCTGACAGAGAAATAAAGGGATGGATGCTATTATCTTCAAACTCTTACAATTAAAGAATGAGCAAAACACTAGCATCTCTCTGAGTTTTCTTGGAGAGGGGCGGACACAAAGCTTTCCCCCAAATTTCCTCCCATCCATACAGATTCCAAGTGAGCACTCTGCAGCCTCTTTTTATTTTTTTAGGGATCATTTTACACCCAGGGTCAGCAAACTTTTTCAGCAGGGGTCCAGTCCACTGTCCCTCAGACCTTGTGGGGGGCCAGACTATATTTTTTGGGGGGGATGAACAAATTCCTATGCCCTACAAATAACCCAGAGATGCATTTTAAATAAAAGGGCACATTCTACTCATGTAAAAACACACTGATTCCTGGAAGGCGACTGGGCCAGATCCGGCACCCGGGCCTTAGTTTGCCTACCCATGTTTTACACCAAAAATGGTTTAGCTTCAAAAAATGTGGCAGCAAGCAGCACTGTCGATAGGAACAGCTATTTAAAACACACACTACCAATAAGGCAAGAAACCTCTGCAGTGACCAGTTAGCAGGGAGAAATAATGGCATCAGCTAGAGAGGTGACAGATGATAATTTGATATTTATAGTCCTCCTGCAAGGTGTTAGGTAATGCTTAGATGAGAATTCCTGTCACTCACCTGCTAAGCATTTAAATCGTTTCCAGACTTGTCAAATACACTTCCAAGACGAAAATGGAACCAGATCTCTCTCCCCCACTGTAAACAGCAAATGGATGCAAAACCGCTCCAGGAAAGTTTGTAGTCCTTAGTGAGCTTAAAGGCCAGCTATGCACACATGAGTGGTTGTTGGATGAATTCAGAAACTAGGGAAAGAATGGCTGCGATGGCTGCGGACAAAACACACATCCATGGCTTAGCTTTCAGAGATGAGGGATCAAAAGGGGGAAAATGGGTCCAGCTTACTTGCTAGGCTCCAAGTTCTTGAACCCAGCAGCAGCAAACAGAAAGAGCTGGGTGATTTGTCACAAAGGAAGAACAGGTTTGGGCTGCCCATTGCAATGCTAGGGTTCAATCAGTTCTCAGATACCCGTACTCGCCTAACCCCACCTGGAATACCCATCGGCAGTGGACCAGAGTCCCTCCATCTTTTGAAACACTTCCTGTGAGCATCTTTCTTTCCCTGACCAATTGATTTGCATTCTGCAATGTAATATCAGCCTCTGCAGTCTCCGAAGTGAGCATGTACCTGGTCGTCCCCACCCCCCAAAGCATGGCAGATTTGGCAGAAATCCAAACCTCACACAACTTTTAAAAGCTGAATGATCACTATCTCAATGTCTACTTCCCACTGCCTAAGCAGGGATGGGAAACCTGTGGCCCTCAAGATAGTGTTGGACTCGCAACTCCCAATCAGCTCCGGCCAGCATGGCCAATGGTCAGGGCTGCAGCCTGGAGGGCCATAGGCTCCTTATCCCTGGCAGGTACAGAAAGGTCTTCACCTGCAGTGTTTAGGACTCCAATCCCAAAGCACCTTACTTGGAAGGATGTTCTATGCATCCAATAAAACGTGTTACAGACCAAGATGAAAGTGAGTGAGAATTCTGCTCGTTCTGGAACAATGCCCTTCGGTACCTTATGCCCTGGTGTTTTTTGGCACATCATGATCTGCTTGGTAAATCCCTAGTTTTCTTTGCAAGCCCACAATCCTCTGCCGGTAGAGGCCTCTGCCTGTTTATCAGCCAATCTGTCAAAAGCATCTTTCTACTGCTCTCTTGAGGGACGCGGGTGGCACTGTGGGTTAAACCACAGAGCCTAGGACTTGCCGATCAGAAGGTCGGTGGTTCAAATCCCTGCGACGGGGTGAGCTCCCGTTGCTTGGTCCCTGCTTCTGTCAACCTAGCAGTTCGAAAGCACAAAGTGCAAGTAGATAAATAGGTACCGCTCCAGTGGGAAGGTAAACGCCGTTTCCGTGTGCTGCTCTGGTTCGGCGGAAGCGGCTTAGCCATGCTGGCCCCATGACTCGGAAGCTGTACGCTGGCTCCCTTGGCCAATAAAGCAAGATGAGCGCCGCAACCCCAGAGTCGGCCACGACTGGACCTAATGGTCAGGGGCCCCTTTACCTTTACCTTACTGCTCTCTTGAGACCTACGATTACCTGTGGCTCACACAGGATGGGCACTACACAAGGCTCTCATTCCCCCCCCTCCCAAGGAGACCTCCAGGTTAAATAGAATAAAGGATGCTTTGAATTGCTCATGTGGGCCTGTGGGGAAAACGCCACTAATTCTTTGTATCTTAGCAACATCTGGTTGACATATTATTCAGCCTGCGGGCTTGTTTTTTTCTTTTTTCTTTTCTTGGCAATCATGCTTAATTTACCTGTTCCATACATCCTTTATCTTGCTTTTTCAGTGGGTGCCTTCGCTCCTTTCCAGCCCATTTTAGTAATTAAAACATTTGCTTCCTCCAGCCCTCTCTTTCACTCCCTCCACAGCTTTCCCTCCCCATCTCAGCAGTGGTTAAGGAATGCGAAGGAGGAATGCTGTCCTCTTACAAGGAGGTTGGAGAAAGGGAGGAGACTATCACTTTAAAACAATGACTTTATGTTTCCAGCCAAAGCTGTAGTCACGCAAGGCGCTCTCTCTCTGTGTGTGTGTCTCTCTGTGTGTGGTGTATAAACAAACTTCTGAAAGCCTTTTTCAGCTTTCTGTATATATTGAAAGCATCCAGCTCTCTGGAAATGGCACAACGGACACAATGTTTAGCGCACAATTCAAATCCCTACAGATATAGCTTCTCCCTATACAACTGCAAAAAACAACAACCTCTCGGGTTTTGTAAAGCTTGCTTTGGTCAGCTCCTGGCTGCCTTTGGCTCTTCCAACTTTCCTTCTGGCAGTCTATTCTCAGCCAGACCTTTCGTCTCTGTCCAAACCACCGGTGCAAAAGCTGTTCCCAGAACATGTGGCATCAGATCCTGACTTTCCATCCAGCACAAAGCCCTTGTCCTCACCTGTGAAGCTTTCTGCGACATGACCTCGCCCCATATTCCCTCCCCTTATTTCTCATGATAACCTTATTGTGAACTTCGCTTTCCCAACCTGCTGTCTCTCATCAGCATAGCTCCTTCTTCTTCCCATGCTTCTCCATCTGCCTTGAACTCCTTCGCAGAACACTTCCTTCAAATCCCTCCTCAAAACTGGAAACTTTTGGCTCGACCCAGTGGTGAGGAACCTGTGACCCTCTGGCTGTTGTTTGACTCTGAATCCCATCTGCTCCTGCCAACATGTCCAATGGTGAAGGATCATGGGATCTGCAGTCCAGCAACATCTGATGAGAAACAGGTTCTCCACCTCTGATATAGCCAGTTAATTCGCACCTCCAACTGAAACAAATCCGATGTGCATGTAACCGTATCAGCACCCATTTATTAATTTCTTTGTTATGGGTATAGGAACATAGGAAACTGCCTTATTCCAGACCAGTGGTCCATTTTAGCTAAGTTCTGTCCGCATTGGCCAGAAGCAGCACTCCACAGTTTTAGACTGGCCTTTTAGACTGGCCTTTCCCCCCAGCCCTACCTGGAGACGTCAGGGTTTGAACCTGTGACCTTTTGCATGAAAAACATGTGCTCTATGACTGATCTACCTTCCCTTCCCAATACCCCACCCATCCTCCAAGGAGTTCAGGACAGCACACATGCTGCTCCCGTTTTCTCTTCACAACAACGCTGCAAAGTACTGTAGTTGAGAGAGAGAATGGCAGAATCAAGGTCACTTAATGAGCTTCACAGGTACATGAGGATTCAAACCTGGGGCTTCCCAGTCTGACAATTACATCTCTGCTGGATTGGACAGGTTGTTATGTTTATATAACAATAACAATAACAATAACAATGATTCTCTCTCTTCAGACAACATGTCACTGGGTTGAAAGCATTCATTACTCTGTATAGTTAACACACTCATCCTAGTTTTCATCAGAGCTGTTCCATTCGCAAAGTGCTCAATGCCAATGACACCATTAGAGTCATAGAGCAGGAACAGCTAATGTGATGCCCTTCATTCATTGTTGAACTCAAACTCCCATCAGTCCCTGGCCTGTGGAGCCAGAAAACTTCCCCACACCTGACTTATAGCAAAAGGGAAGGATGTGACCACATCACTGGTCAACAAGCCAAGAGTAATTGTCAGCATCTCCATAGTCAGATACAGAGGTCAGAGCCGTCTTTCCCATAGGGCTTAGTGGTGTGTCGCGCCAGGGCACCGGCCTCTCAGGGGCGCCCCAGCAAGTGGGGGAGCTGCGCAGCTTTGCCGCGGAGGCTTGGGAGGGGTGCAACTTCACTCCCAAGCCTCTGCGAGGTTGCAGACCACATAACACTGCTCTTGAAAGATCTACATTGGCTCCCAGTACGTTTCTGAGCACAATTCAAAGTGTTGGTGCTGACCTTTAAAGCCCTAAACGGCCTTTGTCCAGTATACCTGAAGGAGTGTCTCCACCCCCATCATTCTGCCCGGACACTGAGGTCCAGCGCCGAGGGCCTTCTGGCAGTTCCCTCACTGCGAGAAGCCAAGTTACAGGGAACCAGGCAGAGGGCCTTCTCGGTAGTGGCGCCCGCCCTGTGGAATGCCCTCCCACCAGATGTCAAAGAGAACAACAACTACCAGACTTTTAGAAGACATCTGAAGGCAGCCCTGTTTAGGGAAGCTTTTAATGTTTAACAGACCACTGTATTTTAATACTTTGTTGGAAGCCGCCCAGGGTGGCTAGAGAGACCCAGCCAGATGGGTGGGGTATAATTAATAAATTATTATTATTATTATTATTATTATTATTATTATTATTATTGGGAGGGAAGCTGTGCTCTCCTCCCGTGAAGGCTTGGGAGAGGCAAAACTTCACTCCCAAGCCTCTGTGGGGATCATTCCAACACTATCGTTGGTCATTTGGGGGTGCTGGGCGGATATTTGCACCCCGGCTCCACATCTGCTAAAGATGGCCCTGACAGAGGTGTCCTTACTTTCTTTTCCGAGCTGCTCTCCCTGCCTGGGGGAGAAAATAGCTTGACCATAGGGAAGAAAGAGAACTAATTACCTTGGGCACCTGTCAGGCTAAACGGTTTGCTTTTGGTTGGGTGTAGCGTGGGTTGCTGGCGCCTGGGTGAGGTAAGTGTTTTGCCCCCCGCTGGACTGGGCCGTGGTCAGTCCCTTTGGGGATTGTTTCCTTAACTGGCTATCACCCAGTCTCTTGCTTTATATACTGTAAGCCTGCAACTTACAAACATTTAACTTGTGCACATTCAACTTTACGTGCGTGACTAAAATAAAATAGGTGGAAAGGGGGTGGGTTTCCGGGGAAAAATAACTTTGGCAATCCCACCCGCCATTGAACCCAGTTGGTTTTGACTATACGCGATTTTGGCTTTAGGCACGACCCCAAAACATAACGCCTGCATAAGGCTTACTGTACTGAGATAGGGATGGGCGATTCCAGCCTCTGCTATTGGTATCTCTATAAATTCTGCTTTCTTCTTCTGTTTCTTTATATTATTTGAAGCAACCTTCCGAGCTGAGATGGATTTTTAAAGACCTACTCCTCAACCCTAAATGAGGAACTTGGACTTGAAAGGCTGGGGCTATTATAAAAGGGAGATTTTTAAGTTAAAAAAAAGAGGGGTGCTTTTCAGGGAGTCCAGTGATTTAGTGTCTCGTTTCTCTGCCTCCCTCCACTCTTTTGCCTCCTGCACAAGGATCTATTGAGAAGCCACAGAACAAACGCTCCCTTATGAAGCTCAGAGGGAGAGAGAGAAAGAAAGAAAAAAAAATCTTCTCTTTGGTTTGTCTGAAACAGCTGCCTCCAAGCACGCTATAGTTACTCATTAACCAGGTCTCCTAAGGCGCTGGAGGGGGGGTGCGAGGAGAGGAGGAGAAAGAAGTCAAAACCTACCCTCAATAAGCTACTCCCCCTCCCCTCCACACAAACACAAAATAAAAAATAAATCAGGTGTCCTGGGAAATAAAAGTGTGGAGAGCAGGTGGCCTCTTTGGACAATGCAATAATGTGCAAGGAAAAAAGGGGTGTCTCTGATCTCTCTCTTTCTCCTAGGCGTCTGCCTGGCAGCTCCAGAAGGCAGAGGGAATGATAACATTGCTGGGAGTGTTCAGGGAGAGGGAGACACAAAAGGCATCCGATTATTAAGAGGGGAAGGCCGGACAGAGGACCGCTTGTGTTCCGTCCCGCTTGATGAGCTCAGGATGGGATGAAGGCGTCTCTCTCTCTCTCCCTCTGCTGGAATTTGGCAGCCCCCCTCAACATTAGAGACTCCCCCCCTTTATTAGAATGAGGGGAGAACCAGCATCTGGGTTTAACTAAGGAACCGAGTCGTGGGAACCGGTTGCTCCAATGCAGGGTTGCCAAATTGAATAAAATATTTGGGGGGGCAGCTAAGCCATGCCCCACATAATTGATCACAAGATGTGGTGCATGCACAATGTTTGAATGGCAATGTGCGTCAACTTTGGGGGGGCAGTCCCCTAAAATATTTTAGGGGGGGCTGAAGAGACCTCCTATGCTGCAATGGATTGTTCTATACTTTAAAAACTGCCGTGTGATTCTCGAAGGGCGGCATGTGGATTTAATAAGTAAATAAACAAACCATTTCGGGTTTTTATACTCTGCAAACAGCCATTTTTATTTTTATTTTAGCGTCAAGGGGTATATCAATAAATAATAACAGCAGTCAAGAGAGCAGCTGGAGTGTCCTTAAAAAAAGCACAGAATTGCAGAGTTGGACAGGGAACCCAAGGGTTATCTAGAAATGCAGGTTCTCTCCACCTACCCCATATTTTACCCACCCCAAATATTTGCTTACTTACTGCAGTTACGTATTCTGGCTTTCCTCCCAGGAGCTCAAGGTGATGTCAGTGGTTCTTCCCCCTTCTCCATGTTATCCTCACAATGGTTTATCCCATGGGTAGACAAACTAAGGCCCGGGGGCCGAATCTGGCTCAAACGCCTTCTAAATCTGGCCCACAGGTGGTCTGAGAATCAGCGTGTTTTTACATGAGTAGAATGTGTCTTTTTATATAAAATGCATCTCTGGGTTATTTGTGGGGCCTGCCTGGTGTTTTTACATGAGTAGAATGTGTGCTTTTATTTAAAATGCATCTCTGGGTTATTTGTGGGGCATAGGAATTCGTCCATTTCCTTCCCCCCCCAAAAAAAATAGTCTGCCCCCCCATAAGGTCTGAGGGACAGTGGACCGGCCCCCTGCTGAAAAAGTTTGCTGACCCCTGGTTTATCCTCACGACAACCCTCAGGGAGACAGTGACTTGCTCAAAGCTGCTCAGTAAGATTTGTGGCTAAACATGGATTTGAAACCAGGCTTCCCGATCTCTAATCTGACATTTTTTAAAAAAGTGTCTAGCCTTAATTTATGGAGATGTGAGAGCTGTTCACTTAAAACTAAGCCTGCCGCTCCCAATTTCCATTGTTATGTCCGAAGAGTGCATAATCACTGGTTGGACCTGTAAGCACCTGATAGTTATTTCCCCTCCAAATAATAATAGCATCATTAAATTGTACTGTACAGTATACCAAGCAAATCGTACAACTAGCATTTACCTCTTTTCTGCTTCGTATTAACTCCTACTGGTGCAACTTTCCCCACCCCCCTCCTTATTAAAGGGACTTCCCAATCACAAAAGAGTTTCTCACTGAGGGCCTCACAGATGCAATTCTGAACACACCTGAAGGAACTCAGACATGATATAGAAACCCCTGACAAGATTCAATGCCATTCCCTGGGCTATCTTTTGTCATGCAGTCATGCCAGAAAGAAACAAATTTCTTCTTTAAACTGAACTTTATTTAAAAATATATTATTTTCTATGAAAATAAGGAGTGGGGGAGAGAGAAGATCTGAAATAATATCCCCCCTGCATCAGTTTTAAAAAGAAGAAATCTAATAAGTTGATTCTCACATCCGATTGCCCCGTTGTCTTGACTGAATTTTTTTTATGATGTGGATTGATAAATAATTGTGTTACCTACTAACATTTCTATTGGGTTAGTTGGCTGCAATATGGCTTTTTAAACTCAAGGGGCAGACAGCACTGATGCCCATGGAGAAGCAGTCACCTCTCCACATTCAAGAAGAGAAAACCACAGGGAGTAAAGAGTTAAAACCACAGGGAGGAAAGAGTTAATTCTGTGAGGGATGCAGCTGTGGGATGTTTTTGGAGCCCAGTTTTCATTGGCATTAAGGTCTGATTTATTATTGCTGATATAAGCTACATTCTGTGCATTATTCGAAGTAATAATTATGGTTCTCAGACAGCATCTATGCAATATCACACACTAGACAATTCATCTAGAAAGGGCAGTATCCTCAAACAACTCCCTTGCTCTTTTGGTCCATGATAAATGAGCACAATTAGGGCTGTTTGCACAAGCCTCCAAAGGCAACACTAAATGAGAGCCAATTCTGAGGAGAGCCCATGTCAATTCAGCATTTGCTAAGTCAGGGTCCTGTGCCCAAACATTGTAAAAAGAGGGGTGGCAGTGGTGAGGATGTGCCAATGGCAAAAATAATGCAGGTATATAAGGACTAGGGACAACATAAAAGCTTGTTTCTAAAACAAGGCTTTTGAATT